TTAAGAAGTTAGATTGTAGGTTGACTTTGTTCTTTTTCAAGAACGTGCCCTTTTTAGGGTAAGTCGACGGTTCTCGGTGGTTTTTTGGTGGAAAATGTAGAACTTTTGGACGGGAAGTTTTCCCACAGACGGCGCCAATCTGTTGACCTCGCGAATTGGACCCTTCACATGGCCAACAGATAGCTACTCCACGTAATCCTCCTTACCACAATAATGCACGGTCAGAAGCATACGACCGGAACCAACGGGCAGTGGCGACCGCATACACGCCGATGGTTAAGTCAGTGTTGGGTGATTGGAACAGTGCTCAAGTTATGTAAGAGTGGGGATGAGAATATATATTTCTTAGTGTGGAGAGTTAGGTTGAGAATTTCATTACCTTTGTATCTTGCCAAACCTTGGGTATTTATAGATGTAGAGCACTGTTGGATGTGGAACACGTGTATGCATCTGACGGTGTGAGGCGTCCGTTCATAGGCGTCTAGAGTGGGAAGACAATTAATTCTTTTGAGTTGAGTTGACGTAAAGTTGATACGTCACATCAACTAGACCTATGGAGACATCACATCAATTAATCATTGGAGATAGAGAGGATCTTGACATAGATATTTTTCTAAAAGTGGCGGCGGAGGGATCTGTTAAAAGAGCACTTCGGAGTGCCTAATGCTTCGGCATTAGAGGGCACTTCGGCTGATTCAGTGAATCGAGTCGTCGGATTACTTCGGAACCACTTCGAATAGCTTTGGGGAGTGGTGTGCCTGATGTTCCAAAGTGGTTCAGTTAGGGGCGTAACATTAATCAAGCTAGATTGGCACGTGTTTGATATAAAGCTGTTGCAGGCAAGTTGAGCAACGAAAATCTTGTTCAAGTTGTTGTCGGCCCTATACAGTAGATGAAAATGCATTTTTCAGTAAAACATTAAATAGAATTGGCAAGAAGTCCCTACCAAGGAGCAAGCTGAGCTAGAAATTTTGGAAACGAATTAGCTTGCACTGAACTCGCCCCATATGTAAGCATGAGCTGTCTTGCATGGTGGAAAATAATGAAAGGAAATATGTTGCCTTACTCTATTAACAAAAGAAACAATTTCTAGTATCCCTTTCTGCTTTGTTAAAAAAGGGAAAATTGCAACAGCAGTTTCTAATATTTTCATCTTTGCAAACTTTAACCCTAAGCTTCATTTTGTACTAGCAAAAGTTTAATCTTTTATAAATATGCACCTAAAGTCCATCTGGACGGAAACCATCCAAAACACCGTTAGTTGACCAGAAAAATTAAGGAATCAACATCCAATAAAATCGTCTAGAACATGGTCCAAAACACTGTCCAGAAAGATATCAACATTCAATAAAATCGTCGCGGTAACAGATAGTTTAAGAAATTTTACCAGTTAACTGATAGTGTTTTGAATGGTTTTCGTCCAGATGGACCTCAGGTGCATATTTATAAAAGGTTAGGGACATTCGCTAGTGCAAAATGAAGGTTAGGGACCGCAATTGCAATTTTTGCTCAAAAAACCAAAAGAATTTATATTTATTTTAACATTAAATAGACATCAAAGCCTAGCTAATGTAATGTTAAATTAAATGTATGGTCAATTAAATGAATTACGGCAACTATTTATTAACTAACATATAATGTGCATTGATGGCAGTTGCTCTTTTAAAGTAACAGCACAAAGGGTTTATTCGACAGATCTTTTGAAAAGTCAGAAATATTTAAGAAGTTGCTTTTCAATGAAATGTTAACATATTTTTCAACATAATCAGTTACGCCTAATTAATTTGAGGTACTCAAATTAATGGTCTGATTAATTAATTAGCACTAGGAACAAAAATAAAGAAAAAACCTTGGAATTTTTTATAGCCAAGTCCACGTGCGTCACACGCTACCTGCCATACCGTTTTATAAGTACGTGACGGGTTCACGTGGATTCAGGCGCGTATTATTAACACAATGGCTTTCACGAGAAAATCATACCACCCCAGTCAATGGTCAACGGTAAATTAAAGTTCCTTTTCAATAAGGAGTTACGGTTGAACGGAGAAAGCAAGATTTGACTTAACTCAAGCTCTGCCGTGTTTGGTTCAACTTTATAGAACATAAAATGCAACATTTAAATTATGTATTCAGACATCGATTCGATTAAGGTTAATGGTCAAAGATTAAAATTGATGGTGAAGAAAATTTTAGCATGAAACCCACCTGTTTTTCGTGGAACGTCTAGTGTTATTTTTTATTTTTATTTTTGGAGATTTTAAGCTCTTGTTTGGTTCTACCAAAAATTAGATTTATGTTAAATTGATAAAAGTTACATATCTCATTAAATTGAGGACTGGGGTGACCCTACCTGTCCCCTGCCATTCGAGACCCAAATATTATACTCATTTCGGGTTTTGTTTTCTTATTTACATTTACTTATTAAAAATGAAAAAAAATAAATTGGAATATTTAATTAAGTTTTGAGGTAGCAAACAGGTCCTTAATGTCTCAGTTACAAAAGGCAGTATTGCAGTAAGTGTCCCCTGTTGGTTTAGCGAAAATGGGCGTGCAAATGCAAAAGGAAATCAAGTGTGAAAGCTAAATCTCATCAAATGATCCACCCAATTAATAGCTCCATCTCTGACACTACCATCATTGAATATCTGTCCTGTATCTATACCTCCTTATACTGTATCTATATATTGTATTGCTCTATAAAGCTGTTAAAGACTAGACCAACCGAACCCATTTCACTGTTTCTTTTCTTCATCTGGACCTGACCTACATGTATAGCTCTAGAAATAGAGAAGAGGGTTAAAGATGTCTCAGAAATGTGATGATTTACGGTTGAGTTTGAGTTTGAGTTTGAGTTTGAGATGCCCAGAGAATGTTAATCCACCGCCACCGCCGCTGGCTCCTCCACCACCACCACAACCACCGTTTCCATTGAGCCTGTTGCAATCTCCTTTGCCTTTCATGCAGCGGCAGAATCAGAAGTCTTCAACCGCTGATCCGTTTCAATTATCTGCTGGTAAATACTGATTGGAATGGTTCATTACTTTATTATTATTTTTTTTTCCATTTTTTATATATTCTTTTTTAGTAAATCTGCTTATGCTGGATTTCTTTCAGATTATGAGTCGGTTTACAGAATCATATCTTGTGCATGTAAATCAAATCTAACGTTTTTTTGAAAAATTAATCTTCTATTTTAGATCGGCATGTTGAGGGGAGATCGTTTCTCCGGGGGATTGACATGAATAAACCGATAACTCTAACAGACCTTGAGGAAGAAGTGATGGTTTCATCTCCAAACAGTACAGTCTCAAGTTTGAGTGAGAAAAGGAGTGAGAGAGAAGAGAATGAGGCGGAGAGGGCCTCGAGTTCTATGGAGGTGGATGAGGACGGTGGCGACGCCACGGGGAGGAAGAAACTCCGGCTGACTAAAGAACAAGGAGCGGTGCTTGAAGAGACTTTCAACGAACAGAACACTCTCACTCCGGTGAGTGGCATTTTCGAAAATTTTTTGGTGGGTCAAGGGTGTTTTATTAATAGGTAATGCTTTTCATGCTAATGTGTGCTTGTGTGTTTGCAGAAGCAAAAATTGACTTTAGCGAATCAGCTAAATTTGAGACCAAGACAGGTGGAGGTGTGGTTTCAGAACAGAAGGGCAAGGTTAGTCATTTTTGGGGCTTTATCGAGGGTATTATTGTCATTCACCGAATGTTAGGCCATGGCTCCCCGATAATTGTACAAGATTAGTTAGGGCCTTCTCGAATGGAGTAGCGAAAAAGGATTCATGGCTTTCAATAATTATGTATTATCAATAAGAGCACACACGAAGAGAGTGGCAAAAAAGATCTATGTGGACACAACATTTGTTGGGGGTTGATTAAGATCGGAATGTTTTGCATTATGTACTTTGTGCTTTGGTGGTTTTGCATTTGAAATCCTATATTATTATTAACCGAGGCTTTCAAATACCGTGGAACATAAAATGCAACATTTAAATTATGTATTCAGACATCGATTCGATTAAGGTTAATGGTCAAAGATTAAAATTGATGGTGAAGAAAATTTTAGCATGAAACCCACCTGTTTTTCGTGGAACGTCTAGTGTTATTTTTTATTTTTATTTTTGGAGATTTTAAGCTCTTGTTTGGTTCTACCAAAAATTAGATTTATGTTAAATTGATAAAAGTTACATAGCTCATAAAATGTGCAATTAAAATCAATTATTAACTTTAATTTTTATCAGATTTTTAGTTAAACCAAATATAAGTTGAGTTTTTAGATTTCAATTTATAGTTGGATTGATATTTAATTTTTTAAATCAAACTATGGAATTAGTTAAGAATGGTTTGATTTTAATAAGCACCCGTTTGGCCCTCATTAAATTACATTTCATTTCTCTCTTTCCCATTTTCAACCACATAATCTTCCATAAAATAATATTACACGTACATGAAAAATTTTCCTTTTTTTTTTTCAACCATTCATTTTTCAAAAAATACTATTCCACAAAATGGGGGCCAAACGGGAATATTGTTTTGTAAGGCCGTCGTTGAAACTCAAGTTGATTTTAAAATTATTTTGTTAGTACATGTGTAATACAACTTAAATTATACATATTATTATTTAAATATTTTGTGGGATCTACATCTACTATCAATTTTCATTCACAGCATTCGTAAGATTCACAGCTTATAAATATCATCAAATATAAATTCATTTTTTTAGCTTATTAGACATGATTATTTTATAGTATCAAAAAAAAAAAAAAAAATTGTTAGGACAATGGTAGGGCAGGACTGAGGTGACCCTACCTGTCCCCTGCCATTCGAGACCCAAATATTATACTCATTTCGGGTTTTGTTTTCTTATTTACATTTACTTATTAAAAATGAAAAAAAATAAATTGGAATATTTAATTAAGTTTTGAGGTAGCAAACAGGTCCTTAATGTCTCAGTTACAAAAGGCAGTATTGCAGTAAGTGTCCCCTGTTGGTTTAGCGAAAATGGGCGTGCAAATGCAAAAGGAAATCAAGTGTGAAAGCTAAATCTCATCAAATGATCCACCCAATTAATCGCTCCATCTCTGACACTACCATCATTGAATATCTGTCCTGTATCTATACCTCCTTATACTGTATCTATATATTGTATTGCTCTATAAAGCTGTTAAAGACTAGACCAACCGAACCCATTTCACTGTTTCTTTTCTTCATCTGGACCTGACCTACATGTATAGCTCTAGAAATAGAGAAGAGGGTTAAAGATGTCTCAGAAATGTGATGATTTACGGTTGAGTTTGAGTTTGAGTTTGAGTTTGAGATGCCCAGAGAATGTTAATCCACCGCCACCGCCGCTGGCTCCTCCACCACCACCACAACCACCGTTTCCATTGAGCCTGTTGCAATCTCCTTTGCCTTTCATGCAGCGGCAGAATCAGAAGTCTCCAACCGCTGATCCGTTTCAATTATCTGCGGGTAAATACTGATTGGAATGGTTCATTACTTTATTATTATTTTTTTTTTTCCATTTTTTATATATTCTTTTTTAGTAAATCTGCTTATGCTGGATTTCTTTCAGATTATGAGTCGGTTTACAGAATCATATCTTGTGCATGTAAATCAAATCTAACGTTTTTTTGAAAAATTAATCTTCTATTTTAGATCGGCATGTTGAGGGGAGATCGTTTCTCCGGGGGATTGACATGAATAAACCGATAACTCTAACAGACCTTGAGGAAGAAGTGATGGTTTCATCTCCAAACAGTACAGTCTCAAGTTTGAGTGAGAAAAGGAGTGAGAGAGAAGAGAATGAGGCGGAGAGGGCCTCGAGTTCTATGGAGGTGGATGAGGACGGTGGCGACGCCACGGGGAGGAAGAAACTCCGGCTGACTAAAGAACAAGGAGCGGTGCTTGAAGAGACTTTCAACGAACAGAACACTCTCACTCCGGTGAGTGGCATTTTCGAAAATTTTTTGGTGGGTCAAGGGTGTTTTATTAATAGGTAATGCTTTTCATGCTAATGTGTGCTTGTGTGTTTGCAGAAGCAAAAATTGACTTTAGCGAATCAGCTAAATTTGAGACCAAGACAGGTGGAGGTGTGGTTTCAGAACAGAAGGGCAAGGTTAGTCATTTTTGGGGCTTTATCGAGGGTATTATTGTCATTCACCGAATGTTAGGCCATGGCTCCCCGATAATTGTACAAGATTAGTTAGGGCCTTCTCGAATGGAGTAGCGAAAAAGGATTCATGGCTTTCAATAATTATGTATTATCAATAAGAGCACACACGAGAGAGTGGCGAAAAAGATCTATGTGGACACAAAATTTGTTGGGGGTTGATTAAGATCGAAATGTTTTGCATTATGTACTTTGTGCTTTGGTGGTTTTGCATTTGAAATCCTATATTATTATTAACCGAGGCTTTCAAATACCGTGGTGGCCTATCTTGGTAGTTCACCATAAAAACGTGCTTGGTGACGCTTTATTGATTTCCAAAAAGTTCAAAAATAGATGACGTCTTTGGTAGAACGACAAAACAAACAATGTCATAGCAATTAATCGTGTAATTCATGCACGAGTGTCGATCACTTTTGAAATGCCTAGTCGTTTTATAGGTCACCAGGTCTCAGTACTATGACTTGTCTTGCGCTAGATGTTGAAGAAATGGTCAATGCATTATTAGAAATCAAAGTAATTTGAGCTGTTTTTTAGGACAATTTTAAAAAAATTACTAAATTGCATGTTTGGTCTCGAACATAGAAACATATGCACAACCTAGAATTATCCATTACAACGATGTTTGCCTGAATTATTAAGGATTGGTCTACTTGTACACTTTTTGTGTACATAATGGGTTATACCCCTCACATGGAGGGGGCTCATGCATAATAGATTATATGCGGGCCTCCCTCCATATAAGGGGGTGTAAAACATCATGCACACGGAAAGTATACATGTAGCATCACCCAATCATTAACTGCATTCATTCTGACTAACATTAACCGAAAATTTTATGTTTTGTTGAGGCAGAGAAGCATATACACATTTTCTGTGTAATTGTTCATCATTTACGTAATGTTCTTGAGTGATTATTGAATGACATTCAATTTGAAAATGATGCAGGACAAAGTTGAAGCAAACGGAGGTAGATTGCGAGTATCTGAGGCGTTGCTGCGAAAATCTGACAGCGGAAAACAGGCGATTGACGAAGGAGGTGAACGAGCTGAGAGCACTGAAACTTTCCCCACAGTTTTACATGAATATATCTCCTCCTACTACCCTCACCATGTGTCCTCAGTGTGAACGCGTGGCTGTGTCTTCCACATCTTCTGCAACTCGACAATGCAATCCAGTAGCGGCTCACCACCAACGACCAATTCCTGTGACCTCATTGGCTGCCATGATTCCGTCTCAACCACTTGATGCCCACTGCCACAATGCCTAGCTTCAGTGAGAAGGATTTCACTTCCTCGGGACGATGAAGTTTTGCCACCGGAAAGAGTGACCGAGGGGGATGGAGGAAGGCTCTTTTGATTAGGAGCAATGAAACCTGGTAGAGGATAGAAATAGAGAAGAGGGTTAAAGATGTCTCAGAAATGTGATGATTTACGGTTGAGTTTGAGTTTGAGTTTGAGTTTGAGATGCCCAGAGAATGTTAATCCACCGCCACCGCCGCTGGCTCCTCCACCACCACCACAACCACCGTTTCCATTGAGCCTGTTGCAATCTCCTTTGCCTTTCATGCAGCGGCAGAATCAGAAGTCTCCAACCGCTGATCCGTTTCAATTATCTGCGGGTAAATACTGATTGGAATGGTTCATTACTTTATTATTATTTTTTTTTTTCCATTTTTTATATATTCTTTTTTAGTAAATCTGCTTATGCTGGATTTCTTTCAGATTATGAGTCGGTTTACAGAATCATATCTTGTGCATGTAAATCAAATCTAACGTTTTTTTGAAAAATTAATCTTTTATTTTAGATCGGCATGTTGAGGGGAGATCGTTTCTCCGGGGGATTGACATGAATAAACCGATAACTGTAACAGACCTTGAGGAAGAAGTGATGGTTTCATCTCCAAACAGTACAGTCTCAAGTTTGAGTGAGAAAAGGAGTGAGAGAGAAGAGAATGAGGCGGAGAGGGCCTCGAGTTCTATGGAGGTGGATGAGGACGGTGGCGACGCCACGGGGAGGAAGAAACTCCGGCTGACTAAAGAACAAGGAGCGGTGCTTGAAGAGACTTTCAACGAACAGAACACTCTCACTCCGGTGAGTGGCATTTTCGAAATTTTTTTGGTGGGTCAAGGGTGTTTTATTAATAGGTAATGCTTTTCATGCTACTGTGTGCTTGTGTGTTTGCAGAAGCAAAAATTGACTTTGGCGAATCAGCTAAATTTGAGACCAAGACAAGTGGAGGTGTGGTTTCAGAACAGAAGGGCAAGGTTAGTCATTTTTGGGGCTTTATCGAGGGTAGTATTGTCATTCAACGAATGTTAGGCCATGGCTCCCCGATAATTGTACAAGATTAGTTAGGGCCTTCTCGAATGGAGTAGCGAAAAAGGATTCATGGCTTTCAATAATTATGTATTATCAATAAGAGCACACACGAGAGAGTGGCGAAAAAGATCTATGTGGACACAAAATTTGTTGGGGGTTGATTAAGATCGAAATGTTTTGCATTATGTACTTTGTGCTTTGGTGGTTTTGCATTTGAAATCCTATGTTATTATTAACCGAGGCTTTCAAATACCGTGAAGCTTATGAATAACATAGAATTATGGTAGTTTATGAAGGATGAATCAGAGTTGCCTCATCTTTGGATGAATTCTTTCACGACTGTCCAATTTTTGCACATCGGAGTTATATGATGAAAATCCACAATAATCGAAAGGCATATCGGATGTGTCAATTGCCATATGGCTGATAAATACGTGGGCTTTGAGTACAGAATGGTACAGGTTATCAAAATCGTATGTTGAATCGAATAGGTGGAGGGTCTTGTAAATCGGATCGTAAATCGTCATATTCTACTAAATATTGCTTTAAAAAGAACAAAAATAAATAAATAAAATTGAAGTTCTAACAACAAATTAACAACTGTAAGTCAATAACTAGCTTAAAATATCTTGCAGAATAAGAAATCCATCAAGCCCAACAGATAAATCGTGTAATTCATGCACGAGTGTCGATCACTTTTGAAATGCCTAGTCGTTTTATAGGTCACCAGGTCTCAGTACTATGACTTCTCTTGCGCTAGATGTTGAAGAAATGGTCAATGCATTCATTAGAAATCAAAGTAATTTGAGCTGTTTTTTAGGACAATTTTAAAAAAATTACTAAATTGCATGTTTGGTCTCGAACATAGAAACATATGCACAACCTAGAATTATCCATTACAACGATGTTTGCCTGAATTATTAAGGATTGGTCTACTTGTACACTTTTTGTGTACATAATGGGTTATACCCCTCACATGGAGGGGGCTCATGCATAATAGATTATATGCGGGCCTCCCTCCATATAAGGGGGTGTAAAACATCATTCACACGGAAAGTATACATGTAGCATCACCCAATCATTAACTGCATTCATTCTGACTAACATTAACCGAAAATTTTATGTTTTGTTGAGGCAGAGAAGCATATACACATTTTCTGTGTAATTGTTCATCATTTACGTAATGTTCTTGAGTGATTATTGAATGACATTCAATTTGAAAATGATGCAGGACAAAGTTGAAGCAAACGGAGGTAGATTGCGAGTATCTGAGGCGTTGCTGCGAAAATCTGACAGCGGAAAACAGGCGATTGACGAAGGAGGTGAACGAGCTGAGAGCACTGAAACTTTCCCCACAGTTTTACATGAATATATCTCCTCCTACTACCCTCACCATGTGTCCTCAGTGTGAACGCGTGGCTGTGTCTTCCACATCTTCTGCAACTCGACAATGCAATCCAGTAGCGGCTCACCACCAACGACCAATTCCTGTGACCTCATTGGCTGCCATGATTCCGTCTCAACCACTTGATGCCCACTGCCACAATGCCTAGCTTCAGTGAGAAGGATTTCACTTCCTCGGGACGATGAAGTTTTGCCACCGGAAAGAGTGACCGAGGGGGATGGAGGAAGGCTCTTTTGATTAGGAGCAA